ATTCTATCATGTGACAATAATGATAACAAAAATGACGGGGATTCTAATGGATTTAGCTAAATCACTTTGTCCGTAGAGTAACATAACAGTGAGATTCTTTTGTCTACAGATTTAGGTGTTTTGAGTTGTAAAAAATGTTTACTCTTCTAAGCTGTGAAGGCATCGTAAGAATATACTGTAGACATTCTGAATTCTTGGACTTTATATCAATCACTCACATCCGGTGAAATGGTAAAAGCAGATAAAAAGCCTACATGGTTATATGTTCGTAGAAAAAAATAGAGTTGTGTCTTGTTTTTGTCACAGAGCCATTAGCGTCTACAATCTACCATTTAACTAAGATTTATTAGTTGAAGTTTTTAAGGGGAATAGTAAAGACAGAAGGATAATAGGATGTCATTTCATGTCGTTGATAGGGAACTCGATAAGGAAAAAAGATTGAGCATGTGAGACTGGCCACCCTACTCTGTAAAAAAAGGCATCACCTGTAATGGAACTTCAAGGTCAAGTCTGAAACCTTACGTTGCCGATAAAAATTGAAGGAATGAAGAAGACAAAGGAAGCAAACGTTAATTAAAATAAAAGCTTGAGGTGATGACGACGAATTCGGTTAAATTTTTTAAAATCTCACCGATAGACTACCTATTCCAATGAAAATGATGTAAACAGTAAAATGCTCGCCTGCAATGGTTTGATTATCTACAGGTCTGATGTTGGTTGGCCTATCCCACTTTGAGAACCTCTAGGAAGCCAGAGAGTAGTGGACAGTCATTTCGTCCTAATTTTTGACCCTTCAATTGTATGCTTTCATCAAGTCCAATAAGAGCACCATTACTCGCTGATGACAAATCTGGTGGTCACGCTATGTCTCACGAACTGGCGACATTCAGACAATGAAATGAGTTCTGGTTGCTGAATAATCTACGAGCTCACCTTCTAACAAGAATGTCCTGGCTTCGAACCCCACAGGGTGCGTGCATCTGAAGAGACTCAAACTAGTAGGAAACAGCTATTTTTTATTTTATTTATTTTTTTATTTTATTTTGATTTACAGCTTGATTCCACACCGTATTTTCAGAACAAGTATGGAATTTTCAGCATGGATATCGGTAGCCCGAATTTCGCAGGCTAACCACTGATATCAGGTGTGCGTCGGTAGGGGATTGAACTCAGGACCATGTGCATGGTCGGCGAGAGTCCTAACCACTGTGCCACCGACGCTATCAAGTGGCCTCCGGTTTTCCAACGGTTCTGTAACTGATTTCAGCTCATGATATAGGTTTCTTGGAATTATCAGAAAACTATCCTGAGTGTGGAGACCTAGGAAGATTGTATCACTGAAAGTTTTATGATAATTTTGAACAGTAAAATTGCCAGCTTACTGACATGCAGTAAAGTGGAATTAGTTAAAGATATATACCTGATATGATGTCAGCGTTAATTAAGTAAGAAAGAACACAGTATTCAGAGAAGAGACTCTTTTCAACGAATTTATTATCAAGCTGTACCATCTCGTGCGTCGGTGGCACAGTGGTTAGGACTCTCGCCGACCATGCACATGGTCCGAGGTTCGATCCGCTGCCGGCGCACACCCGATATCTATGGTTGGCCTGAATTTGGGCTACCGATATTCATGCTGAAAATTCCACACTTGTACTGAAAATACGGTGTGGAATCAAGCTGTAAATCAAAATAAATAAATAATATATCGTTTTAAAGAAATTATATCCGGTGAGGGAATTAGGTCAAAGGTGTGAATACATGAAATAATAATAGTAGTATGAAACGCAATTAAAATATTTATGATTATAATAATAGTTTAATGTCAAGTGGCAAAACAATTCATGTTATATATGGAATAATACATAAGGTGTTTAGATTTTGGGAAGGCGTACATAACTGTAGGATTAGTAGACGAATATAAGATGTTACATAACATGGTGTGAAATTTGATAAGATAGAATTCAATATTGTAAAAATAAAAAATATAAAAAATTAATAATTTTGTGTTTAAAATGACAAGTGGGCCAAGTGGAAAAGATTCAGAGTGAGAATAGTAATAATAATAATCGTAGTAATAAGGGAAAAGGATATGGAATAACTAAATAAACAAAATAAATAAATGTCTATCCATCTACGGCCAAGACAGAAGTAGGAATTGTACAAGGCCAAGGCCTCAGCTGTCGATAGAAGTCTCTAAAGAAGAAAACGCGGAAAGTTAGCATAGATTCTATATATTATGTTGAAATCAAGGTCAGGGTTGACAGAGTGACAGAAGTCGATCAGGTGCTACAGAATAGAGCTTCGCACACACTTCCTTTCTCCCTTGTGAAACCATGCTGGAATATGTTCTCGTATTCGTGTGAAGAGCGTCCTCTGACTACGGCCAATGTACCTTACTCCACAAGAGCTTGATAATAAATTCGTTGAAAAGAGTCTCTTCGCTGAATATTGTGCTCTTAATGCTAAAATGGGAAGTATTAAATAATTAAGTAAGAGTTAAACTTGCGTGAAAATATTATTCAGACTACCTGAGTCCTTACCATAGATCAAAGGTTAGGTCTTTGAATTTTTATTAGTAAACGCCAATCAGGCGAATTGAATTTTTTAAACTTAAACTAATTTACTGGCCAACCGAAAAGTTGCGTCATCAGCTGTAATTTCTCCTCATATTCATCCTGGTCAATATTCTACGTCTTCCTCAGTCGTCTACTGCTGTATGTCGAAGAAGCAGAACGAAAAAACCCACAACCAGTATTATCACAATCGCAATGTTTCCGAGATAGAGATAATATGGAAGTAGGGAATTCACTATATAAAGTTGGTGTAAGCTATCAGCAGAAGCTGATTTACACATTAAACAAAGGATGCAAACGTTGTCATTCCCTCTGAAGTATTGAATATATTCAAAGTGTAATGTTCGGCTCCCACAGAAACCGTCGGTAATGTTGACCGGTCCGTATTCATGGAGCTACCGTGATTAAAACTACCCATTTAATGGCATTCAAATGTGTATATATGCAGGTATGCAGCGACCACACATGAAGCAGTCATTAGACAACTTAGATTCCATATAACTCCCAGAAAAGAGGGTGCACTTATAGTACGGTCATAGTGACTCCCTCCCGTACACCGATAGCGGATATTTGTATTTCCTGAGTGGTTCGCTGAACGTTCCCAAATAGCTTCCATCGGTGCTTGATTTGAAATCCTGAAAGCTACACACCGTTCCAGCACGGACATACGATGTCTTTATTCCTATAGGTGTATCTTTTCAATTCCACTTTTCTCTCTGATGTTAGATTTATTCTTAACATTTCCGTATGATGCAGGGTTTCCACATGCACCGTTGCTGTTTCAATAATTCTGATACACGAAGTCATTTTAGCCGTTCTTCTATTGGAGTGGGTATTCTTGAATTCGGATTAAAAGTAGTTTCTTGGCGTAATAAATTATCACGCTATTCCCCTGAGTAAAATCTATCTGTCCTTCAAAGTAATCTACAAAGTGAAGAACAACCTTCGAAAGCCAGTACGATTCCGTCTTCTTTGCATCGCAGAAGCCCTAGCCATTAGGCTGGAGGAACCAGAACTGTGCATACAAAAGAAAATTATTCAACCACTTCTATTCCCATGGTAACAGCTGTGTTGATTTGACTTAAATTTTGTTTGTTTGCTTATTTTTCTACTTAAAACTCTTGTGTAATTCCGTAATTTTGTTTCCATGTACACCCTGAGTACAACTCTTTCATTAAACTATTCATGTCATTACGCAACTCTTCTTTAACAATCGTTTGTGACAACTCATCACTTTTGTTACTACTCTCTTATATCAACATCCAATTCATCTGAACTTACTAATTGTATTTTCCATTATGGGTAAATTTTGTTTTGATAGAGTCTCACAGTGTTATACAGTAATGTTTACTGACGACGTTTCGAGCACAATTTATTGCTCATAATCATATCAAGGTGATACCACAAGTTTGATTCTTATATCAATTGTATTTTCGTTTGACAAATTTAATGTACACACACACATACAAAACAACCATATATATATTTGTGATTGTACAGCTGTGAAAATGAATTCACCGACGAAAAGAGACTCTTCGCTGAACTACTTGTCTTCCGCCTATTAATGTTTGAATGGGAATTTTTCATGAATTAAAATCCATTTATCTAACCTATCGTGAATTCTGCTGTAAGAACCAGTACCTACAAATCCTCCGTGAACTTGATCTGACAAGAAAAGAACAAGTTCATAGAGGATATGAATGTACTGCGTTTTAAGACAGAATTCATGATCATTTAAATAGACAGGAGACCACAGAGAGCTGTGTCATTCTAATTTGAGTCTTTCAGCAGTGTATACTCACGGTAAACTAACCAAAGTGTTGAGACTAGACCTTTTTTCATTCGACAGAATCACGGTACCACTAATCCGCTGAGTTTTAATCCGATGGGTTATGATCGATAGCTTCTCTCAATTCTCTACGTGGCATAACTTCCCTCCAGTTCTTGGAAGAACATTCGCCGTTAAACTTGATTTAGTGAACTCCAACTGTTTACGTACAGTACATTTTAATAGTAATGGTGACAATTAATTAATGAAATTGAATTTAACTCATTTTTTTATTCCTTTACGTTATCAGTGGAACACAGAGCTCCAAGCTTTAGCTTTGAAGTGTCAGTAACAGTGGTGTTTTTATGGGGTGGGGTAGACAGCCTCTCGCCCAGCCATCCCCCATCTGTCTACCTTAGGCAGGTAAAGGAATGCGCCGACCAGGACTCGAACCCTGGACCATGTGTATGGTTAGCAAACGCTTTACCGACGAACTACCGACGTACGAATTTACCACATATGGCCTTCGAATACATTTTTAATTGTCATGCGAAACCATTGTATCATAATTCCATATGCACTCGATTTACCTAAACAGAAGCTCAATAATTAACACACCTGTTAACTCTTATTTCTATATACATCTTATCTTTCAGGTGATGAAAATTCTTCCAAATATCCGACAAACATAACTGTGCAAGAGCATACAAAACATGTTCGTTTCGACTGTCATATAACGGAGAAGAATAAAATATCGTCGTACAGATGGTGAGTTAGAAGAATTTATCATTTTTCTGGTAAAATACTTTAGAAACAAAAATGCAACCTTTAATTTACGTAATATGTCCGGCAATAGACAAATATATTGATAGAAGACTTATATGCTAGAAGGTCTTGAAATAAGAGAGAAGACTTCTAGCTCAGGTGGATGATTCTGATTTGGTATTCTCCTCTAAGCTAGTCGATTTCATTGCGAAGCTTTCATGGTCCTGTTAGAGAAAATCTTCAACATAGACTTTGAATTCTTCATGAATGATATTACTGTATCTCCTGATGACATCATTTGTCGTGCGTGACTGACTGTTAATCTAGATCTTTACTGGCCATTTTTATTGACTGGGGATTTGAACTTTCATGTCGGGTGATTTATTTTTTATAAGTTTGTGAATTCGGTCAATAGTAACGTGTTTGTTAATCGCCGCTTCATTTGATTACCAGGCTTCTAGAAATTCCTTGACTGCATTTTCGGTGATTACTCTGTTTAAAATTTCTGCACTCTCTGAATCAAATTTTTGTCCGTAATTGTCTGCAGGCATTGATATGAAAGAATGCCTATCGTGTCTTTTTGCAGTTAGTTTATCCTCTTAGATCCTGAGTAGAAGGGGACGCTCACTTTGACAGATGTTGGGTTTATTGCAGTTCAGGTAATTTATTCTGTAAATTGCGGTAATCTTATCTTTCTTTCCTCTTCGATCTTTTGGTTTACACGATATAGAGTGAAGTGGTTGTGTTGGCTTGTGCACCATGTTTACTTCAAACGGTTTTAATATTCTTGCTGTTACTTCAGAGAGTGAATTTTCTTGTGATTTTGAGGATTGTTTCTGGTTAGTATTGCGATTTGAGTTTAAACACTTTTTGGGTATTCATTCTTCTTGAAGAAATTTAATAGGTATTTCCCTTCTGTCTGCTTCAATACTGGAGTGCTACAGTGTGTTCGATTCCTTCTCAACAATGTCTGTACACAGTCTCTTTTGTGTGTGTTTGGGTTATTGCTACCATAGTTGAATATTTGATCTATGTGCGTTGATTTTCTGTATACTTGTGTTTCTGGATTTCCTGTGTTTTTTCTCTCGCTGAAGACACCTTAGAAAGGAATTTTGGCGCCTGATACCTAATCTCTTGTGAACTTAATATCTTCAGATAGGTTGTTGATTAATTTGTAGATATATCACCGAATCGTTGAAAGTGAGGAAGTCTGCAAAGAGTTCTCCATTGTGATTTATATCTCCGATTGAGAGCCGCTCGACTCATGGTAAGTTCTCTTCCTCTATTATCTGCTCCCAGTCCGACTGGCATTCATATCTCCCATGAGAATTTTGATGTTACCATTCAGGATGTTGTCCATTACTAGTTGTAGTTGTCTGTAAAAAACCCTCTCCTTCTCTTGCTACTCATTGTTTGTAGCACTGTGCATAGCGTCGGATAATTCTTACCTTTGTTCATTTCTTTTTAGTCGAATCTTGCTGTCATAATCCTGCAGAAGGAGATTGGTTCCCACTGCATTAGAGCTTTGGCTGCCAATGGTAACATCATTACAGCCACTCACTGTCTCAGTGTGTTCGTGGTTGTCGTCTAGGTGAACAGACCGGAGTAGATTACTCACTCTCCAGTTGACAGTTTTGACAGTCCGCATCCATTCTATCTACTATCGCAGATGCCCAGTACTTCTAAGCCATATATTCTCATTTCTTTGGCTACCTGGGCAGCCTTCCCAGTCTCATACATTGTACGGACAATTTAGGTCCTCATTCTTATTCTTGCTTTCATCAAGAGAAAACAGATTGACTACCTGCCTTCCAAAGGCTTTTGCCAGCCTATGTCATTTAGTCTTTCCGATTCCAATGAACAATAAGAATGCTTTTTATATATTTTGAATTTTTAATATTTTTCTTGCGCGTGGAATTTTCTGAAACAGTCTGATTGGTTTTGTGGTGTAGGGTCACTAGCCCCACGCCCAGTCCTCCCTCTTTACTCAGGCTTGGGACCGGCTAGGAAGCTAACGAGCTAGTAAACTATGTTTGGTGAAACCTGGGAGTACTAGACAGCATCTTCGTCGTAGTTTGGGACTCTTCAGCAGTAGGCTTCCTCCAAGGTTCGAATCCAGAAGCTGCTGGTTACAAGGCCAATTCATATGCCATTAAGCCACTGATACCTGATACACTTTCTTCCATACCAGTCATCTTACTCCACAGCAATGCAAAAACCCTCATTTCCCCTTCACGTGATCTTCCTCATATTATATTTAGCCAAATGCTCAACGTGGGACATCAAATTCGGTTGGCACCTGAGGATGTGGTGTGTGGCGTCACTTCAAATTATATATGCACATCTATATAAATATTGCCTCTCATGACACTGCAGATGCAGAATGCGTAGGAACTACTGGTGACGTATTTAACACTGGATATAAAAACCGATAAGGAAAACCGTCATTAGTAAGCTTGTAGTATAACTACCGCATATGATTTTTTTATTGGCATTCTTACGTATCACTGTCAAGTAAGCTGGTTGAACTCCTTTTAAATTCAACAGAAACCGAGAGGATATGCAGAAAATTATCAATCGCTTACGCAAAAGCAACTCGATATCATACAGAGCTCGGCTGAAGTACATATTTCCTATCGCAAAGAAAGGTGCAACTCTATCTCTTTTCCGTCTCGTCAGGACATAACGTCTCAGAGGATATAACAGGGGAGGTTCAGAGGCTAAAAATAACTATACCTTTGTGGAGTACTGGTTCTCCCACAAGTCATAAATCCTTGAAAGCAATCCGTTATCTAGAAGAGTCTGGACAAGCACCGAAATTTCCCAGACGAGGACTAACATAAGCTTCAAACCTTCTATCTTCAAACAGTAAATCTGAAATCAGTAGTATCTCTCTCCCGTGCATCATTCTGTCCTAATTATCAATAACTTAATATTTTTTTATATAAGTCAAGCTTCTTAGATCACTGAACTAAATAGTTCTCGCATCTGTGTGTTTTGTTACAGGTTTAAGAATGGAATAGATATAAATTTCTATCCTGACATCCAAAACCGTTATCAAATTTTACCTAATGGCAGTCTCTATCTCACGCAGATTAGTCGAAATGACACTGGTGTGTATACCTGCCAGTCAGCTTTACACCATTTGAAAAACAAACCAGCACAAAGTGAACATCAACATCATATTGGATTAACGAATGAATTCGGCGCACGACAATCAGGTAATTACAGCGATACTGGTAATGTACAACCAAACATCGGGAAGAATTTGAACACTTCTATATGGCTAAAGGTGCAGTGTAAGTTCACATGGTTATTGCTGCATTTTCTGCTTTTTATTTCGGTAGTCCGTTAAGATGGAAGCCTGTTTAGTTTGCACAGACTGAGACCTTTGGAGCGGACATAGGCCAGTTCATGAGTGGTTGATATTTATCTCATAAGACAGAGTAGGAAATAATGATAGTATCACAGTTAAAAGAAATCAATAAACAATGATTAAGGTTTGATTACAGGGTGAATTCATGTAGAGAACCACTAAAAACCAGGTAGTACTGGACAGCTGTTCTTTTATACTTTCGGAGTCTTCAACAGTACGCACACATGACCCAACCTGAGAACTCCAGGTCACAAGTCAAGGTCATTCAACACACAGTCAATTGGCCAAAATCCAAAGACCACTCAGTTCTAGCTTCTACTAATGCCTGATATGTGCAAAACAATTCTTGTAAAATAATCTAGGATTCACAAGTTACTGACTAGAGGGTAGAGTTTCCTGTTGTTTTGATGAGAAATGGTGGCCAGAGGCTTCGCAAAGTTAGGCGTGAGGATAAATAATCGTCGATGACATTGCTTGGTGTTTGCTCTGTATGTTTAAATTTGACAGAAGCTGGAAATGCTGAGCTATTTGATTCTGTCTCAGTTACTGAATGGTGTATGTCATTCTAAGGTCCCATTTTCATTCCTCATTAGTTGGATCACGAGTGTCTTCTGTTCATGAGTCCCAAACTAGCAAGGAACTACTCTTTGATTAATTCCTAGTCTTCCATGTTCTTATGTGGGTCAGAAACTTAAAGTGCGCATCGTGTAAAGCATTTCCAACCAGCTATTTCTGATTTTTATCAGCAGTTAGCTTCGCTTCATATTGAAGATCAAATGGACAGAACGAATTAACAACAAGAAACTAAGAGAGCAAACCAACTAAGAACCCATTCCTCAAAAAATATTCCTAAGAAAACAGGGATGGACCGGACATACTCTGAGGAGACCGTTAAGTAACATCACACGCCAGGCCACCGTACTAGTGGAAACTAAATGAGAAACAACGAGTTGAGTGTGTGTCCGAGGATGACTTGAAGGAGATTGTGTGATGAGGTCAGCTTAAATTGACTCCAGACAGTGGGACAAACTGGAGATGTGCTATTGAAGCCCCACTTGGAACCGAGGGGAAATAATAACATAAAAATAATAATAATAGACCACGAATGCTGCCACTTACATAGGTTTTATTTAATAAAACGTTTCAGTTTTCGTATGTTTGTTTCTATAATCAGTTTTTTATTGAACTGGAGGTATGCTCAAATGATGTGATTCTAACAGGAACACCCTGTGAATTCTGCTGATAGCTCGCACCAAGCTGAATATAAAGCCATCATTGAGACACTTATTCTAGAGGCGCCAATGCGAATAGATAGCGGTCATTTCAGTTCTGCATACAGCACCAACAATAAAATCAATAGGTTTAAATGAACTGACTGTATTTGCTTGTAGATCTAAGCCTTACCAGTTATTTTGTCGAGGCGTTAAAAACATGTAACACTTGCAATTATTTATTATCTGGTGTGTATTGTTCTCCCAGCATAGTTTTGTTGTTATCGTTGTTCCCTTAGGTTCCTAGTGGAACATAGGGCTTCAACTGCACGCCTCCATTTGCTTCTGCTGTACTTTTCACCTGCATCCATGTTAGTCCATACTGTTTCAACCCCTCTTCACACGATCTCCTCCATGTCACCCTTGCACTGACGTCCCACTCGCCACTTCCCTTTCGGGTTCCACTCGAGCGCTGGCCTGACGCGCGATGTCACCCAGCGAGTGGCCTCCTCAGCGAGTGGGTGTCCAATCCATCTCCACTTTCTCCTGCATATTTGTTGGAGGATTGATTCTTGTTTTGTTTGTTCCCATATTTTCTTGCTGGTGATTCTCTCCGGCCATCAGATCTTCAGTATAGAGTTGAGTTGAGTTCAGCTTAATTTTCACTGGAGCGAAAGTATAAGCTTACATGTTTACTTCACTATACGATACAGAGCGGTTAATACCACTATCGTCAAAGCAACGCTGTGGAATTCATTCACTGTTCTTCTAGCTGTTCACTAAATTCAGATATAGGCAGTCATCTGACTATGCAACCCCATAGTATAAGAATGACATGCACAGAGAATAAGTGGATGTATTTTTCAGACAATCAGTATCATTCCCAGAGTAGGTTTCTTTGTGAACCGATACCATTCAGTGAATCAGTCGAAACCAAGGAACACTGGATAGCCCTTCTGGTCTAATCTGAAATTCTTTAGAATTTCGTGCTTATGAGTTCAACAGAGACCGAACTCAGGAAGTTTAGGTTACCATTAGAACCATTCATTGGCTCGTTGCGGGCATCTAAAGTTAAAACCCATCCCTAATACTCCAGGAAATCCACGCCACCACGAGTTACTATTTTTAAACAATAAATATGTTGGTCTGGATATTAGATGTGAGAAAAAATATTCGCTGACGACACACGCTGACAGCTGTGCTATATATCATGATGTAGCATAAGATAGAATTGTTGAGTCTCTGAATTCTGCCCCAGTGACTGAATGGTTTGTCTCGTTATCTGAAGTTTGCAGATTCATATATACAAAGTTAATTCCGCCATATGTATTTGTAACCGAAGAGGTTATTACCACGAGTTCACATTACAAAATTACAGTTAACTACTTTTACAGTTAATTACTTGGAACGATAACTGCTGTTCTATGGGACGAAATTTTTATCATTGTGGTAAAACATAATTCCATATTGGATAAGTTCATTTGATAAAACATATGGTAATATAGTGCATTAACAACTGGATGACGTTTCAAGGATACTCATAGTCATATTGAGGAATCCACACCACTTCCTAACTTGTTTCAGGCCGATTCTAATCCCTCCTGCTTTTTAATGCAATTTCCCGTGAATCTACAACTGGCGCTATAGTCCATTTATTGGGTGTAGACCACACAAAATAAAAATTTGATGATTTGCTTCCCTCTCTTTACTCAACTAAATTCCTTTGAATACATCTACCCTGTTCTCTTCTCTTGTATGACTACAAGCAAGTATAAGCGGTGCTGTTCCCTCCCCTTTTCTCTTTCTCATCCTCTTAAATACCTTACCTCCTGCTGATGATCTGATTATCTGACTGCTACTCCATTATGGATAAGATTTTATTTTGATAAATCACACAGTGCTCGTTATACAGTAATATTAACTGATGACCACGTTTCGAACACAAACTATTGCCACTCATAATCATATCAAGTCACTCATACAACTTTCTTGCTTCATTTATATACATGGGTGAAATTGATTAGATATTTGAATACAATCAATATAGGATAATTTACACTCAGAAATAATAATATGACTGTTGTTGATTAATTACAATCAGATGGGAAATAAGATCTCGTATAGTCAAAATAAGTAACTTGTTAGAATGTTATAATGTACGTGAATTGAATTGAAATAGAATTTTAAGATTATTTATTATCCTCCTCTGATTTGACTGACTGGTGGTAATAATGTCTTCCATGCAAATCTGTGGTATCTGCATTGAGTCATTTCTGTTGCATGTGTTGGGTGTAGACTGGATGAACCAGGATTCAGTAATCAATCTCTCTCTCCATCTACATAGATTACTTCTTAGAATCTTAACCCTCTCCCACCATGTTATTGTGTGGTTGTGTATTAATGCATGCAGTGCAATCGCTGAGATTTTTCCAAATTACTTATCTTCTAAGGGTCAGCCTTATCTTAGCTAAATTCTTATGTTCTGACAATCTGACTACTCCAGACCTACTAGTTTGACCTATGTAGTTGACCTCTCTCATGGTCATTCCAGGGTATATTGTAAATTATATTATTCTGTTTAATTGGGTCCACCGGTATGTTCCTTTAACCTACAGAGCTTGTGTCTGAATAATTTTTTAGGTTTGAATGCCACTCTAATTCCTGCTTCATTGAGAATCCTACGTAGGGTTTCAGATGTCCTCTCCTAATATGGTATAACAGTAGATGCTTTATATTCTGTCTTATTTATATCATAAATGTTAGTTTCATAATTATTTTTATTTTTTTTTTATTTATATTCTGTGTATCACATATTGAAACAGTATTATTTACTGGATTATTATTATTTATTTATTATTTATTATATTTATATTTTATTTATATTTATATATATTTTATATTATATATTATATTACATATCAAATATTATATTTTACATATATATTTTATGTATATATTTCATTTATATTATATTTATTATTATTTACTGAATCCGACAAACAAACTAATATGGAATTACTTAATACCACAGTGCCCAAGTTTTATACTTATATCAATATCTGACTGCCACTTACCTCCCTAACTGCATGTTCCAAACTAAATGGATTTTTGTCTGATATGAGCCAGTAGTCTTAGCCAAATGGTTTTATGTTAAATCCCTCGAAATGTCAGACTATTAACTACACCTTTAGGCATAAATGTGGTTTACAGGAACTGGATCGTTCACATAATGCATATAGCATACAGGGTATTGAAATAGCAGCCAAGTTAAGTATTAAATACCTTGGAATAATTCTCCCGTCTGACCTTTCTTGGTCATCCCATATCATGTCGATTCCTAAAAACAATATTCCGACTAACTTTCCACATTAAGAAGTTATGACAATCAAGCAGGTATCACTAAAACTTTACTTTAACAATTTAGTAACTCTTGCATCTTACTTTTTGTTCTATATAGTTGACCCCTCTTAGTCTTTTCTGGGCTACTCAAAAAGTGCTGTGTCGTACTGCGCATGGTATTAGAGGCTGTCAGTAAGGCAAGTGGTGTGTCACTAAGTCAACTCATTACTACTGTAGTCGATAGACACCTGAACTCAGGTGAGAAATGATCTTAATCCAAATTGTCCAACTCTCAACACCCTTTCTATTCACAACTCTTCCCGGGCTTGTATGTCATCAGGTAGGACTTTAAGTCATTATAAAAGGTTATATC